TTACATTTAGGTCTTTGATCCATTTAGAGTTGATTTTTGTGTATGATGATAGGTAGGGTTCCTGTTTTAATCTTCTGCATGTAACCAGCCTGTTTTTCCAGTGGTTGTTAGTGAAGGCTTTGTCAAAGATGAGTTGGTTGAGAAATTGAGGTTTTGCTTCCAGAATCTCTATCCTGTTCTGTTGGTTTATATGCCTGTTCTTGTACCAGTACCAGTCAGTTTTGATTATTGTAGCCTTATAGAAGTTTAAAGTCTGGAAATGCGATGCCTCCTGCTTACCTCTTACCCTTCTAATGCTTGCAGCTTTTCTCAGTTCTGTGGTTGAAGAGGATGTCTCAGCCTCACTTCTGAGTTCTGGGGTATGCATGAAGGTATACTTGTCTGTGGATAGTTGCTGGTTAGATTTCTGTGAGAGAGACTGAAGCCAGAAAACTCTTACCTTGCTGGTGTCACTCTCCTTATTACGTTCCTGAGAGAGGTATGAAAAGAAGTGACAGGACCCATTGCCATTTGAAGAGCAATCTGAAATCAGGAGACAGCATATTTAAGACGACAGCATAAGCCCAGTTGGAAAAAATTTGTTTTTCCTTTTGTAGGAGTAAACCATTTAGTCTATAGCCAGAGATGTAATTACTGCTAATAGTTTAGTATAGAGATTTTCTTCTTATAGTAAATGTTGATGTGTGTGACTATTCTTTAAAAGTAGTAGTCTATATTATTATGTCCTACTCTTTTTAATTTAACCTTATATAGTGAAAATTTCCGTATCAATAAAAATATTCTTTACATTACTATAAGTGACTATGATGCAGTTATACCATAATTTACCTGAGTCAATCCACTTTTTGAAGATAAGATATATCTTTCTATCAATTTTATAAATAATATCTTTGTAAATATATCTGGTTACAACCTTTGTGTAGATAAGTAGGATATATTTTTACAAGTGCAAGTTGGTAGGTCAAAGGGTGTGAGATACATAGATCTTCTGAAATATATTGCCCATTTGTTCTCCAGAAGAGCTATGCCATTGTACGAGTATACTCCCATTAGTAGTACCTGCTTCTCTAAGCATCTCTAACAGAGGATATTTTTTTGGCTTATCAAACCAACATGCTGGTTTGATAAGCCAAAAAAAAATCACATTTAAAAATTTTGAATTTATCTGATTAAAAGTTGAACTTTTAAAACACGTTTATTGGCTAGTTGTATTTTTATTAATTACCTGTTGATATCCTTTGTATCTTTGTTTAAATTTGTATGCTTTTTCTCGTTGATTTGTAAGACCATAAATGATTAAATTTAAATAGATTAATGACTTGGAATAAAATGGCTTTAATGGGACTAATAATAAAAGCTGCCATCAAATGAACACCCATTTAGACTGAAACTGCACTAAGCACTTTACCCTTATATATTTTTTAATTTTAGATTCAGGGGGTGCACATATGTATTGGTTACATGGACATATTGTGTAGTGGTGGGGATTGGGTCTCAAGTGGCCCATATTCCCCAGATAGTGAACATTGCGGCCCCTAGGTAGTTTCTGAACCCCTTTCCCCCTCCTCCCTTATTGGAGTCCCCAGTGTCTATTATTTCCAACTTTGTGACCATTTAGCTCCCACACATGAGTGAGAACATGCTGTGTTTGGTTTTCTGTTTCTGAGTCAGTTCACTTAGGATGATGATCTCCAGCTCCACCCATGTTGCTGCAAAGGACATGATTTCATTCTTTTTTATGGCTGTGTAGTATTATTCCCTGGTGTATGTATACCACATTTTCATTATCCACTGATGAGTTGATAGGTATTTAGGTTGATTCCACATCTTTGCAATTGTGAATTGTGCACAATGAACACACGGGTGCTGGTATTTTACTCTTATATCTTATTTTACAGTGGAGGAAATTGAGATTTAGAAAGGTTAAGTGACTTGCCCAATACCACAGCTAATGATTGCACTAGAATTTGATTTCATTTATACTTTCATCAAACTCTGTGTAGTTTTCCATATATACTTTTCTGGTACCTAGCTGTTGCTTATACCTATTATGCCAGATAGTTATATCTAATCATCCTTTTTTTCTAGTGTGTGTGTGTGTGTGTGTGTGTGTGTGTGTGTGTGTGTGTGTGTGTGTAGGAAAATAACTTGATTTCCAACAGAATTCATAACAAATGAATTGTGTATTTTATATTTTCCTTTGTTTCTTAGCCTACCTATATGAGGCTGATTTATTACTGTAAGGCTTAATTTATAGTGCTGCTCCATATGAAGCATCTCCATGCTAAAAAATAAAAAAAATTCTGAGCTTCTGTTTTTAGACATAATAATAAATTTGATACAGACCAAGATATTTTATCATTTGTTATTTTAATTTACTCTTGCTAAAGCATATTCTGTGATATTGTACTTTTTGTTGCTTGTTTTCATATTAAGAACCAGGTGCATGCCTCAAATCCTTTTTTTAAGATGGAGGTATATATAAGCGAATGAAAAAAACAGTAAAAAATTAATAATAATTAGTGTACTAAATTCTTCTTAACAGAATTTTACAGAACAGTATGGCAAAGCTTCTCGCAGATCTTAGTGTGGACAGCATTCACTGCAAACCTGGGAATAACCTTACTAAATCACTTCTGAACATTCATGATAAACAACTTCAGCATGACCCAGCTCCTGCTCACACTTCCATAATGAGCTACCTAAATAAGTTAGAAGCAAATCACAGTTTTATACATTCAGAGCCACTTTCTATGATTAAAAATGAGGAAATCACAGAGCTAGACAGGCCTTATGAAAATGTTCAGCCCTCCAAAGGCCTTCAGCATAGCAACACTAGGGACATGGAAGAAGTATCTGCGCCTGGAATAATTTCCACTCTTTCAAAACGGGGTTCTGATGAAGGAAGTGAAACTATGACTTTAATAGAAGATGAGCATAATTTGGATAATACAATTTACATTCCTTTCGCCAGAAGCACTTCTAATAAGAAATCACCACTTTCTAAGAGAATATCCCCCCAGCCACAGATAAGTGCAGCTACAACACAGCTAGTCAGCAACAGTGGACTTGTCTTTGAAAAAGAAACTAAACTATGTATGCCCTTAGTTTGTTCTTCTTTGATAAAGGAAGTGGAAGATACACCTGAAAAACTTTCCAGAGTAGCAGCTGATACAGAGGACAAACAGCTCCTCAAGAAAATAAAGGAAGCAATTGGTAAGATCCCTGTTGCCACTGAGGATCCAGAGGAACAGGCTACATGTCATGACCCATCAGCTTGTCACAGCAACAGCATTCAAGTGAAAGACAATACTGTCTGTGATGGTAGTTTTTTAAATTCTGACTTGATGTCTGACTGGAGCATCTCTTCTTTTTCAACATTCACTTCTTGTGATGAACAAGACTTCAGAAATGGCCTTGCAGCATTGGATGCCAACATAGCTAGACTCCAGAATTCCTTAAGGACTGGGCTTCTGGAGAAGTGAATTCAGAAGAAAATTTACTGAATGCTTCTTTTTAAGAACAGAATTTGTCTATATTGAAGGCATATTTTAAGTTTTTTAGATAGATGTTTATTAATTATGTGTGAAATGATAAATTATATAATAATAAATTTATTATTGGAATATACTAACACTATGGAACTCATAAAAACAATTCATCTTAAGAAATTAATAATTGCTAAAAGAAGAAAATTGTAGTTAACTAGGAAAGTATTGTAAGTGATGTTTTAATTTAGGACTTAGCAATTCAAGTTATTTTATTAAACTGTACCTGCTGGGTTGAGGATATAAATTGAAAGAATTCTCTAATTGTCCTAAAGGATAATGGGAGAGAGCTCTCTTGGTACAATTTATTATATTCAAACTAGAGTTTTTTTCTGTTTCAGCGTATCTGTTTGTTTTTTAATGGCGTTGTATGGACGCTTTGTGCTACAGGCTAGTGTTGTAGATGAGGTATATAAACATTTGTTTTGTTTTGTTTTTGAGTCGGAGTCTCACTGTCGCCCAAGCTAGAGTGCAGTGGCCCGCTCATGGCCTGCCCAGCCTCTACCTTCTGGGCTCAGGTAATCCTTGCACCTCAGCCTTTCAGGTAGCTGGAACCACAGGCATACACCACCACACCTGACTGTTTTTTGATTTATTGTAGAAATGAGATCTCTCCAAGTTGCCCAGGCTGGAGTTGAACCCATGGGCTCAGTCTATCCTTTCACTTCCACCTCCCAAAGTGCTGGGATTATAGGTATGAGACACCATGCCAGGCTAAACATTTCTTTTAAGAGGTGCTAGTGTATATAACTCTTGACATTGGTCTAAAAATACATAGATAATTATAAATTAATGTATGGCTTCCTAAAACTTTGGAACTTTATTTTTGTCCTGAATGTATGTTTAAAGACTTTTAAAAAATAAAGTTAGACTAATAAAGAAGTACTAACAGGTAAGTTTTGGTTTTAGAAATTTTTTAAAAAATAAATAAACATTTGTTTTTGTCTTTATTATACTTGAACATGATGTAATTTGTAAATCTTGTCATTGGTTGTAATTCTGCCTCTGTGGACTAGTTTTTTAATTCAACACTTTCTTTAGCTGAGAACATTCTCTATTCTGTAACTCATACGAACTAGATTGATCTCTCTGCTTCTCTACATCAGCACCTAACAACTACTCAGTATCACCTCCCTCCATATAAGTAGCATATTTTAACTTTAGAAAAGTGAGTGTTGTTCTGTCACTAATATGGGTCACCTGCCTAGTATAATTGTATTTAGTACTTGGACAGGCTTTATTATTAATTAAAGAGTGTTCTGCAGGTCCTAGAACCTCTATCTGCTGGGGTTTTTTTTTTTATTCTTCTTCTTTTGACGTTAGTGCTGCACTTTTGGAGGACCCAGATATAGTTTCTTTCACATGTCCAGCTTTTCCAGATAGGGATTTTTTTTTAAGTCTAAAAATATTAATTTTAAACTTTTCACTCAAGTGTCCATTAGGATTTAACACTTTCTTACTTCCAGTATTCATAAATTAATTTGCTGGTTTCTTATTTGGAAGTAATAGGCCACAAATTTTTAACATATAAGCTCAGAAATACAAAATAATAAAGCAAAGAAGAAAATTGTGTCATCTGTCTACTCCTAAGTATTTAGCTGTTATTTGCAAAAGTAAAGTCTTAAGATTATTACATGGTAATACAAGTCGATAGTCTATTTTGCCCTTAATACAGAACAGGCATTCTTATATGCAAAGGGAAATTTTAAATGCTGTTGGTTCAGTTGATTAGCGGTTAATAATTTGAGTGAAGAACAAATTAGATTAGAAATTCCTTCAGAAACCTTCACCAGAAGCTTACTATTTATTTGATATAAGACATACACATGACATAAGATAGAAATATGAAAGAAGTTGGTTAAATTTCAATGTGAAATATGACCCTGGCAAATGAATGGAATAGACAGTGTTTCATAGAAATTTAAAACATAAGGAAACCAAGAGTAGAGGAAGACCTAGAGATTAATCTTCATTTGGATCTTGAAAAATGTATAGGATTTGTATAATCCTGTGAACAACCTTAAATGTTTATACCATATAAAGTCAGAATCATCAAAATGTGGGAATTGATTGAATGTGATATATTAAGATGATGGTGGTTGGCCAACCTGACTGAAACAGAGGGTTGGGAGATGGTGATAATAAATGAAGAAAACACAGTTAGAAGATTTCAGTCAGTTGTGGAATGTCTCAAGCACCAAGCTGAAGTGTATTTATTAAACATGAAGTCATTGGAGTGTGTGGGTATCTTTGTTGTTTTGAATTGAGGGTCACTAGATGAAGTTGGGTGTTCTTAAAATTTCACAGAATGATAGTGATTAGGATTAGAGGAAGGAGTAACCAGAGACCAATTAGAAAGCTGTTGCAGTACTCCAGACATAATGATAATCCTTTGGCAATGAAAGTAAAAAAGGAGAAGCAAATTGAAGAAAATTTTTCAATAGGTTTGATGACATAATAGAAAGTGAAGGAGAAGGAAAAATTAAAGGTTTCCAGTTTGATCAGTTGAGACACATTGAACAGTGTCTAAAATGAAAAAAGTTTTGGTTAAGTTCCAAGTTAAGTATTGATAACAGTGCTGATAGTAAAGAGTGAGATTTAAAAAAAAAAAAAAAGGAAGAAAGAGTGCCCATTCTCAGTTGTCTTCTTTAGATCATCTCACCAGGAGTCAGCATTACTGCCTCATCATAGTCTCAAGAGTCAATCTGGCCCCAGGTCCTAACCCTCTCACAGTCTTTTCAGTTATCCCAGAGTGTGAAAAACACATTAGTGAATGTGCTAGTCTCTGGCAGATTGAATTTAGTATCTCCTGATAGGTATCAGGCATGGAACGAGAAAGAACTATCCTCCAGCATTTTGTCACTATTCTGCTCCTTTGATCAGTAAGGGTAATACACAAGCTCTTTTAGTATTTGTGACTACCATTGAAGATGAAAGATCGATCCGGTTTTATTTGACCACATATAGAGATCCTATGGGCAGAGCTAGAGAACCAAAGAAGTATTGGTACACACTCTCCTTATTCCTGCTGCCCGCAGAGTTTAATAAATCTTCCAGAAATCTACTTTTCAAGGATTTGAATGTCACTAAGAGTGGCAGTTTATTTGTCAAGTTTTAAAAGTTATAAAGGCCTTCAACTACATGGAAAGTAGGGCAGAATTGTAAAGCCTGCTTAGATAGAAAGGGCATGCAGCCTAATCACGACTGACCAAGTATGTATCTAGTACATTTCCTCAGCTAAAGTCTCATTAATTCATTCATTCAGTAAAATGGAATAAAAGCTCTGATATGTGCCAGTTACTATAGGCTCTGAGAATACAGCAATACATAAGACAGACATTCACTGTCCTTGAGCTTACATTATAGTGGACACAAGTAAAGGAGCATAAAGTAATAAATGCTGTGAAGAAAAAAGGGTAAGGGGACAAAGAGTGACAGAATTGGCTTAAATTTTAATTATTAGGATAAGAAGCCCCTTCTCAAAAATTATGTTCGGGGCCCAGAATTCAGGCAACCTCTAGAGAAGGTTGGATTTGACTTGCAAGTTAACATCCCCTTAATCATTTTCCAAATGTTTATTCTAGATTTCCTTCTGCTCAAAATTGCTAAAGCATTTAAACATGGATTGTAAGAATCATAGCACACTTTACAAACATGCTGCAAATCCCCTTATCTTTTCTGGATGTTCTAATATGTCTCTTGTAGAGAACGGTACTGTTTTAAAGCTGTTGGCTTGAGCTAGACTTCCCAGAGAATTACTAGAGATGTTAAGATCTTATGAGACTTTTGAAGGGTTTTAAAATTGAGTTTTTGAAAGGACTTTAGAAGTCATCTGTCTCACTGTTATACCCAAAGAAGGAAACTATTATCCAGTGAAACCTACCATTGCAAAATCCCAAGTACACCATGGGTATTCCTTTTACCTGGACCAACCTTTTGCCCAGACACCTATATTTTTTCATTCTTCAAACCCACAATACTACTTCTGTACCTTATATGTATTTCTATTGATGTAGGTGTAAGTTTACAGATCAACTTTTCCTACCTTCTACTTAAGGGCAGGGTCCAGGGTTTATTCATTTTCAATATCCCCTGTGACACTTACTGTCTACCATATAGTAGACAATAACTTTAGTTGAACTCAACTAACTTCCTGACAAATGGTCATCTAGGCATCATTTGGTTTTCTTCTTGTTAAGTTCATAATGCAGCTTTTCCTTAGCTTTTATTACACACTCCTCAGTTCCTAGCAACTAACCTTCTGTACCTTTTATTCTTAATTACTGTTGCTAACTTCTAAAGCAAAATTCACTTATTAGCAAGCATTTATACACTCCTGCTTGTGCTATGGAGAAGCCACAGATTTTTAAATATTTAGGAGGACAACATTTTTTTAACCATGACACTAGTGCAGAGTAATCTGTTTCATCAGCCTGCCTTATAGATTTGTGGAAAAGATATGTATAAGCAATGTACTTGAGAACTGGGGGACTGTATAGTCTGACTTACACAATAGTTAAAGAACCCTTACCATCTGCTTGCCTTCTTCTGATGTCTGCCAGTTTGTCAATGACTCCCTTAAAATTTAAATCCACCAGTGAGCAATGAATTCCAGATGTGATTTGATCAAGCAAAATACAATTAGACTATCACTTCCTACAGTCTTGTTACAGTTGTTTTAAAATGGACAAGGATTGAGTTGACTGTCTTAGCCATTGGATTATGCTACAGATCATATTAGGGCTATAGTTAGTTTCCAGAAGATATTCACATTGTCCTCGGTGTTAGGGCAACTTGTGGGGAGTGGGGGTTATGTCAAGTTCTGTCTAGTTAGAATGAGCACTTCCTCAAAGACTAAGGTTCTGACTTGACAAGCTGCCCTAGGGAAAGAGCTTATATTTACCACAAACTCAAAGTGCTTGTTCTCCTTGAAGCCAGGTTATAGAGGTTATCTGCTCATAGAGGTTATAAAGAATGAAAATATGGAAACTGAAACTAAATATTTTTTTTTTCAGTCAGAGTCACTCTGTTGCCCAGGCTGGAGTGCAGTGGCACACTCATGGCAACTGCAGCCTCGACCTG